CAGCGTGGTTCAACCAGACAGCCACTTAGCTACAGAGAGCCAATCCAAGAACTAGAACTGGGGTGATGTGCTCTATTTTCGCAGTTTTAGTGAGAACAGCAGCTGCAGCTGTCCAGTTGACTTTTTAGGCAAACCTTATAAGTATATGAGGGCATATAAAATAACTACCAAAACAGAGTATATACAAAAAAAAAAAATACCAAAAAGGGAAAAAAAAAAAAAAAAAAAAAACTTTTCAAAAGCAAAACTAACAATGAAGATCAAGAAAAAACTGGCCTTTTATCCACAGACTGTCGTTGCAGGATTCCCTTTATAGTAACAAATTGGAGTAAACATAAGTTTATAATAATATACATTATTGCTTTTATATTTGCACAGTAAAGTGAATTAGCAGTCATTATCGCAACGCCAATGTCCGCAATATTACTGTAACAAAGGGCAGCTTGGATGCAATATTGGCAGACTAATATTTCAGGCGCCTTGTATTAAATAAATCAGTGATTTTCATTAGTATATTTGCCCATTTGTGTAGTCTCATATCCCCACACTAGATATGAATCTTAGTTGCCAAGATCAGAACACTTTGGTATTTCTGTGACATTGTGCCTTTCGCTGTAATGGAGAGGAATGAGAGAAATGTGGGATAATTGTTCTATATTCAGCAATATTTGCTTTTGTTTTCCTGATATCATGCCGCCCTGTTCCTGAGCAGGTAGGATTAATCAGACGCAATTACTTTTTATTTGCTACAAGTTAATTTGTTTTATGGACCAAATTTAGTTATGCCAGCCATTTATATTAAGCTCCATGTTCTCTTCAGGTATGTGTCAGTTGGTAGTCCTTAAACTAGGATATTCTTATTAAAGTTTCATCTCATGATCGCATTTCACCCTCTATAAAGATTTGCATACTTTAATGATGGCATGGCTCATCAAAGAGTCTGTGTTCTGACATGTAGTCAGAAATTTTTCATTGGAAACAATTCAGTTGTAAAACTATATAAGCAATAGATTCTCACCAAGTGAAAACTGGCTTTTTATTAGAGCTGAAGGGCTCCACCTGTGTTTAACCGGGACCCAAGTTCAACCGAAACTCCCATTAGTCACACATTTCTGATGCAAGAAGAATCTTGGATTGCGTTTACTCAAGTCACTATGACAGAGACAACTACTTGCAACAAAGCATACATGGTCACTGTTTTGGATCCTTAGTGTTTTAGAAATATATAATTCCAGTCCAGATTTGCAACAAAAAGTAAATAACTTCATACAAGTCAGAGCAGCGAAGTTATATATTTATAATCTCCCGATTTTAACCTTTAAATCATTTCCTACAAAATCACAATAAATGGGAATACAACTTATAGTACCCCCCTTAAACTGCCAGCCATGTACATGATATGGACCAACTGCCAATTCCTTTGCAGTTATTACACCTAAAAAAGGAAAAACACTAACATGAAAGGAATCATCACTGTAATCAGTATGTTCATTATTAGAGATGTGCCGATCAGGTTTTTTCCTACCGATACCGATCACCCATGAAGGCCGATCACCGATACCAATCACATAATTATTATTATTATTATTTTTATTTTTTTTTTTTTTTTT